CAACTGCCTGCGTCCAATTCTCCACCTACTGTGCATACTACCGAACCTCGATCGGCGACAGCGACAAAACGCTGTCGCCTCGCTACAAAACGACAACATCCTAGCAACGGTTGCCTGGCAACCACACACTGACAGCGCAAGAGGACTCTGGGACCCGAAAATGTGTATTCATACATTCGCCGACATGTATATGTTATGTATATGTTTTTTACATGTTACATGTTATTTTACGATAATATAATATGTTATGTATATGTTATTCGACTGCGGTTGAAGCTAGCTTTTATTTCTTGGCAACTCTTGCTTGTGATATTATAACTCAAAAGTGTTATATTATATTCAAAAGTGTGCAACACGTTGAAGGAGACATCTTCGACCCTTTAAAGTACATTTGTACAGTGGCTCACAGTTTATTTGACCATCTTATTTATGTATACATACTTTGTTAATCTTAAAATTTAATTCATTTGATAATGACACAAAAAGAATTAATCAGGGCTTACGTATTTTTGTCGGTTGATTTAGTAATTTTATTCAAATATTCTTTTATTCAAAAGAAAGGAAATGTTCAGACCAGAGCTCTCGTTGCGAGCACAACCGAAAAAAGTTCATACCCTCTCGCTCTCGCTCTGAGCAAGAGACTTTTGCTGTCTTCATTTCTGTTTTCTGTTGATCCCTTTTTATTTTGGTCGTTCAATGAGCAGTGCGGAAAGAGCGGAACGAGAAACGTTCGCACAGAGAGTCAGCAAATGATCGATTGACCGAAAAACTCAACGCAAACAGTTTTCCCTTTACTTTTGTTGTTGATGCAATTAATATATTTCGTCTGCAAAACGAACGCTTGGGAATGTATACCAATACATATGTAATAAAATAATACAATTTTTTTAATAGAACAATTTAATTTTCTTATTCTTAAATTCTTAAATTTAATAATTTAATTTTACTTTCAAATATTTTTGTTAACAAGTTTCATTTAGATTCCATATTCTATTTAAAAAAATGCTATCAGAAGGAAAAAAAAAGTTCGTGAAATGAAATTTGTGTAAAGATTACCGGGCAATTTAATACCGCAAACATTACAAATTGCTTTATTCTCGTCCAAAATGAATTAAAAAATTGGTGCACATTTTTATTCATGTCTCTTCCCATTTTACAACAATTATTTCGCAACTTAACACACTCAATTCACGATCGCAATTAAACGCTTAATAGAGATGGAGAAACATCGAAGTTCACGGACATTGATGTCTTATATGTTTTTGGCGAACTGCGAGAATGCGAGAAGCCCCCAAAAGGTGCCATTACTTGGTAAAAGGCATATCCAAGCTCGATTGGAGTTTGCCAAAAGCCATTTGAACTGGTCAGTGACAAAATGGCGCAATATTCTTTGGATAGATGTGTCCAAACTGGTCTCTTTTGGTGGGACAGGCTCCAGACAGTATGTCCGACGACCCCCAAACACTAAGAACCACCCAAACCACACTTTTAAGACCGTTATGCACGGTGGCCCTAAAATATTGGTATGGGCTTGATTTTCGTACAGTGGCATGGTCCCATGGATGGGATCATGGACCAACACGTCTATGTCGACATACTCAAAAAAGTAGTGCTTTCTTATATGATATAGATATGTCCTTAAAATTGACTTTCTAGCAGGATAACGATCCAAAACATACCAGCAAATTGGCTAAGAGTTGGGTTAGTCAACCAAACATTGATGCAATGTCTTGGCTAGCACCTTCCCCGGATTTAAATCCGATTGGAAATTTATGGGGGGACATCAAGAAATGTGTGGCACAGAAATACCCGACTTCAACACCGCATCTTTGGCAATTTGTACAGAACGCGTGAGCCCAGATTCCCCTCAAGCGTTGCCAGGACTTGGTGGACTCCATGCCACGTAGCTGTTTAAGCCAATAAAGGCTTTACGACAAAATATTAGTTTATATTTATCATTTTTGTTATTTGTATTAGGTTATTTTAAAGATTTGATGAATTTTTTAGTTCTTTTTGGTAACACTTCTATTATTATGAACACCCCATTTTGTCGATATTATTTTGTTATTATCTATATTTTCGAAATAAATGGAGTAACCAGACTGAAACAAATGTTATCATAATTAAAAATAAATAAACCAATTTTGTCCCATTTTGGTGTTTGTACTACAATTATTCGATCTTAAACATTTGTGTCATGAGCACTGCTATTTTTATGAACACAGCTGTACATATTATTTACAGCTTGGTTTTTGTTCAAAAAAAGTAGCATATCGACAACGGTCGATGATAGCCACGTTCGACGCTTACTAATGAGTTGCCCGGCTTTGCTAAAAACTCGTTCCGACTCACACGAAGATGCGGGCACGCAACAGTATTTTTTTACTAGAGTTTTAAATGCGTCGCCATCTGTAGTCATCTAAAATATAATTTATAAAATAAACAAGAAAAAATATGTTATTGCATAATTTCTTACCTTCCACTACGCAAGAGGGTCGCATTTCTCGGGTTGGTTCTCTTTCTCTAAATGTTGCCTTATCTGGATAATGGCATCTGTCCAGGAATAGTGCACCTTATTTTGGTTTTTTACTTTAAGAAATGAATATCGACTGGGCTACTGTGTTGGTGGTGTTGGCGTATGTTGTGGGCTTGTAGGCAATTTAGTGACCAGTTCGTGCTGCACAGCTTTAGCAGCTTCTTCATCATTGAATGGAATCAAAAATCCATGCTTCTTGAAGCGGGGATCTAAAATGGTGGCAATTCTGGGTATTGTGCTTGTCTCATATTTGGCGGGCCTGTTGCTAAGAGCAGACTTGATGGACGTCAATATATTTCTGCCTTCTTCGGTCTTCACTTTAATTTTGCCTATTTTGTGATTCATCTCGCAAATTACAGGGATTATTATCGAAGCTTAGACTTTTGTATTTGTTGATACAGAAAGCGTAGCTTCTTAAAAGGGGGATAATAATTCGGATATATCCTTCAATATATCCACTGCGGCTGAAATCGGCAAAGGAGCGTTACGAGAAGATACCAAAGCTATTGTTATGAATTCGTTGGTCTTTAGTATGCGCTTGATCATCTCGTATGCGCTGTTCCAGCGAGCTGGCATTTCATGTAGAAGTGAATACGGATTATCCCCCTGAGCTTCCTTAAATTTGGAATAAGCGATCTGGAAGTCCGGCAATTTTAGCACATCTTGCACAATAAGGTTTATTGTGTGCGCAACACACGGCAAGTGCGTAAATTCCAGCAACTCACATGTTTTTAGCATCGTCGCGTCGTTATCTGTGACAACACAAACCACCTTATTTGTGACACTCAATCATCAATCATCAAGCACGGCCTTTAAACTTTAAAGTTTAAAGTATCCGAAATATTATTGGCGTTGTGATTGGTAGTGTCAAGGAGTTGCTTCGTTGCTAAAATCGCGGACTCCAGCCTAAAACTATTTGAGACAAAGTGGCACGTAACGGTAATGTACCCTTCATTTGCCTTCGACGTCCACAAGTCAGTTGTTATGAAATCAATATTGGTCAATATACAAGCAGCTTATTTTTAAGGCACTCATATTGAGTTGGAAGTAGGGTTGTTGGTTTTTGAAAAAATATCGTATTGATGATATTTGCTGTGAAAAAAATATCAATCGATAATATTCAGAAACATCACAAAAAAAAATCGATATATCGAGTATTTTCGATATTTTTAATAGTCAGCTAAAACTGAAAAAAGGTTATTTTTAAATTTAAAAAAAGGTTTTAATATGTGTTGTCATCCGCCATGAACTGCAAACAAGACATATTTTTTATTTAAAAAGTGAATTGAAAAAACAACAAATATTTATACCCACTCTCAAGCAACTTTTATTTAAGTTCTTTGAAATAAAAAATAACAAAATTATTAAGGACATTGTATTCAAATTTATTTATAAAAAAAACTTTATACAAAAAAAAAAGTTTCATGGAATTTATGGAATATGTACTTAATAATGCTAATTACTTAATTCTCTTATTTAATGCTCTTAATTACAAAATAAATCTTTCTTCAATGATTTAAAAAAAACTCTTTCGGTTATATGCTGGTATGTCATTCGACTACGGGAGTCACAGACAACACATTTAATGGCAGAAGCCAACCGTTCAGATGGAACCGAACTTCCAGGCGTGATAAGAAAACTTAAAGCAACCTTCGCTAGCATCGTCATCGTTGAAATTTGTGAGTTCCAGAATTCCAACGGATTTGTCTCCCAAATACAAAATGGCATACTCAAGTAAACCTGCATTTCCTTTCTTTCGCAACTAATATCGGAGAACACCAACTCAAAAATATTATTATCGACTATTTTTGCCCAAAAAATATCACGATAATAATATTTTTTTAAGAGAAAATATATCGATATATCGATATTTTGATATATTTCCGACCATGATACAATTATATAAGGTAGTCCATTCCACTGACATATCGTTTGGGTTTGCTCACTTAATTTCAAACTGTCAAACTGAAAGGTGATTTTGTTTTCATAACTTTAACCCTTAAGTGGCCAAGCAAAAAATGACTTTTTGCTATTATTGTCGCAAGAACGTGCTAGGCGTAAAATTTGTGCATGTTCCAAAGTGCATTGAAAAAATAGCTTTGTGGGAGCAGTCTTTGGGCTGTACCTTTATTGAGAGCTCTCAAATTTGCGATACGCATTTCAGTGCTTCACAGGACTTAATTCGACTGCAGTTCCGCAAAAAGAGGCAGAGCCTGAACATTTTGTTAAATTAGGCTACGCCAATTCGAGCACGCAAACAGATTAAAAAAAAAATAAATAAAAACACTACAACTCTTGTCATAACTAAGAAAAACTTGTAGCCCCATGCTCCGTGTAAGGGTTAATCAAAGTTTCACTCGCACTATTCAACGCTTACTATGTTAAAATAAAAATAATGCAGTTAAGTCAACGAATGGACTACCTTATATAATTGTATCATGTTTCCGACATCCCTAGTTGGAAGGACTACGTCGCGCAGGTGTGACCTACTCGGTAACCTGTAGCGGGGGTCCATTTCCCTCATAAGTGCCTTAAACCCTTCGTCCTTAACGACAATAAAAGGTTGTACATCGACTGCAATCATGTTCATCACCTTATTGTCCAATACACGTTATCGTGCCGAGTCATTATTGTAAAAGGCGATCGATTGTCCGACAAACTTTTCTAAAAGTTTGTTTTTTGGCCACTTTCGACATTAAGTCGACCAGGATGAACATGTTTTAATTGGTCCATAAGGTTAGTAGTGTTTTCACTCGTCTTTATTGCCTTACCACAATAATTGCAAATTCCATGCGTTCTTTCGGCGTTTTTTTTTGAAACATCCCGCCCCCACGCTATTGAAACATCCCTCCTCTTTTGATCCTCATCGGGCTGTTCACTGGCTGCTCCTACAAAAAATAAACTGTATTAATGCCAATTCAATGCAAAAGCAAAAATGCATGCAATGTGCATGTGCATTTCAACAGAAAGTTCGGTTTTTTAATACTTACTTTTTAAAAATCTGTCGATGATTTATTTCCACCACTCACGCCAACATCACCAACAAGTATAACTAAAATAACAATATTCTGTTAGTAATTTATAATGAAATTAAAAGATGTTTGTACTTACAATGTGTCAATCTTCCTTTATGCGCCTTAGAGATTAGAGATGGAAAAACATCGATGTTTCTCCACCTCTAACGCTTAACGACTTGTTTGCCTATGCGTGTGAATGTATACCAGGCACGAAATCGCACGCACACATGCCCCTGTGTAAGTGAATGTGTGACACGCATACATAAAAAGAACAATCCAAACGCAGACCAGCCTTCTTCGTCGCGCTCCTTTCAGCGACTGAGAAAAAAAAAGCATTCAATGAGTATATGAGCGTAAGATGAACGAACGGTGAGCGTAAGAAAGAGAGTAAGATTTAGCTATGGGGCCTGCCGTATTATTTGACTTATTGAATTTATTTGACGTATTGACGTGCGTAATGAAATGTGCTCTTTATTTTTTGTGTAATAGATGATTCTCGATTATTATCAAAAAATAGATTTTTTTTTAAATTTAATTCAAACTTATAACTATTCAAAAATGTTCCTTTAAAATTTCAAGGGAAAATTTCAAAATTTCTCGAAGATATAGCCGATTTATGGTGGGAGCGTCAGGCGACGGCGAGAGCCGTCTCAAAACTTTAAACGCGTTTTTCTCGAAACAGTGTTTTTACGACTGGCCCATGAGGTTACTCAAAACATATTAATTCAATCGGTTCCAAATTTTAATACGTTATTCTATACATATGTATATAGCTCTGGTATGAACTAGGATAAATCAAATCGGTGTAGATCTTTACTATTTAACTTGATTTGTGGCTGCAAAAAATAAATTTAAAAAAAAAATTTCAAATGTCCGCCATTTTGTTAATTTTTGTGCGAAATTAATAATCCTAGTTCATACCAGAGCCAAACATGTAATCTTTCTAATCCCGTTGGAATTTTTGGTTTCCGATGTTCCAGTGAGCGGAAATCACACGCGCCGCCGAAAAGAAGGGCTTTTGTTTAATCACAAAAAACAAAAAAATTACTTAAAAATTGTTTTCTTCCTTTTTATGTCTTCTACAACTCATGTAAAAAATATTTATTAATTTTACCTTCACTTCTTACGCACTTAACACTGTTTTAAAACTGAAATTACTTTAAATTATTTAGAAATTTAAATCGCGTCCACGCTTAGTAATAGTCTGCAAAGAAATAAAAAAAAAAATGAAGAACAACGAAACCAGACACGACAAGAGCCACAACTTTACAAGAGTTCTTGTTATTGCATTTTTCAAATAAACGGCACGCGCCGCTCTATCCCTTATGGTGATTCGTATATATAGGTGAATATTCAAATATTCAATATCAAATATTCAATATAAAAATATTTACATATATGCCTATTTGTTGTTTTCAAAATTTGACCTCGAATATGCCCGCCGCCTACATCAAGAGTTGGCCATATTTCCATTTTTACGTAATTTTTACATAAACTTAAGTTCTTAATAAAAAGAAATAAAACTTTTACTAAATATGGTGCCATTAGTTATAAGATTTAATTTGAACCTCTAACAGCGTCATCTTTCCGGTTGCTCTCCTCAAAAACTTCGAGGAGCCCTGAATGAGAGAACTCATAAACACCTGCAACATGTATTATTTTTTCAAAAAAGAGGCAAAACCCATTACTAACAATTGATTTTATAGTAATAGCAAAAATGTAAGAGTCATTTTTACCATTAAAGCACTTAAAAAGGCAACTAAAAGAAAACCTTAACAGAACACATGTACTTTTGTTAGAATAACCTAGAAGAACATATTTGCGACACATTAAACGAAACAACAGAAACATATATAAATATGTATAGAAAAACGTTTCAAATTATAAATTGACATACCTTGACCTTTATTTTCTATAAAAACACTTTTAGCTTTTTATATTAGCTTTCCCGCGTTTTTAGACTTAAATAAAACGACCTTGAACAGATGGCTTTAAAAGCGCGAAGAATTTTAGGCAAATTAGAAAAAATCGTTCCAAAATTTTTTTATATCATTTCAGTATTAAATATACCAAAAATATTATTAATTATTAATATTTAAAAAAAACTATGTTGGATAATATTTTTTGGGGTAAATTAAAGATTTTAATTTCAAATATGACCTCAAGAAGTGTGTACTAATCTTAGTTTACCTGTAAATCAAACGAAGGTAAATAAGTGCCTCAAGGCACACTTGGGGCTTTAAGTCAATTTTTTCATATATGATTTTATTCTATTTTTTGATTATGGTACTCAAAGATTTAATGATAAGATAATTTTTATTTGCCGTACAGCATAAGTGAAAATTACATTTTGTGCACATAAATTGTGCTTGGGATTTCTTGCAGTTCTTGCACCATCTTTTGCAAGTGTCCCGACTCATCCAAACAGGAAAATGGTTGACTTTATAAAACCGTACATTACAAACTGGATGCTTTGACTTTTCACCAACTGTGAGCGATGGCTTTGAATATCTCGGCGTGAATGGGGATTGCATTGTTCAACCTGGTTGTGCAGTTCGCTGGGATGTTGGTGACGGAAATTTCCGATGATAATCACGGAATGTGCGACCGCGTTTACACTTGCTTTGATATGCCACTAAACCAGCAGCAATTGATTCCCGAGACACTGGAAGCTCTAAAAATTTGTCTGTATTCTTGTTTTCCTTTTTAATGCGCCTGTATAAAACATACGCATTTGTCGCTGCCATATCAACCAAATGGTAAAAAATTTTTGTCATTGCATTTGCGAGAATATGATAACCACCAATAAGTCCATCCATCAGGTCAACACCGCCCATGTGGGCATTATATTCCCGAATAATTTAAGGACAATCAACCTAAATGTATCTTTTAGATTTCTTGTCATAACGAGCTATCTTTGCTATTCCTTCATTTGAATTTAATTTCAAAAATGGCTTAAGGGGTTATATACAGTTGTGATAGATGAAAAAATCAATTTTTTTTATTGCACATTTTTTAAGTATATACTGTTGAGAATACTCTCACAAAAATTCATAACGATCGGAGCATTAGAACCGAAGTTGTAGCTATTTATAGCGCACTACCTGCACATCAAACTTTAAACTTTAAACGCGATTATCTAAGAATCTTGTTTTTTCGAAATTATCTTTGCGGTGGACACGATTACTAAAAAACTATTAATCCGATCAACATTAAATGTTGACCACTTATTTATTATGATAATAGCTACTCTGAGAACGAAGGAATTTAAATTAAAACTCCTTTTTTAGACCATAAAAATCGAAAATTTTATACATTACATGAAACAGTTCATTATACCCTTGCATAATTTATAATTTTATAATAAATTTTATAATTTTATAATTTATAATTTTGTCCAAAAGTGTGCAACGCAGTGAAGGAGACATCTCCGACCCTATAAAGTATATATATTCTTGATCAGGATCACCTCCTGAGTTGATATGAGCATGTCCGTCTGTCCGTCTGTCTGTTTCTACGCAAACTAGTCTCTCAGTTTTAAAGCTATCGTCTTGAAACTTTGCACACACCCTTCTTTCCTTTGCACGCAGTATATAAGTCGGAACGGCCGGGATCGGCCGACTATATCCTATAGCTGCCATATAACTGATTGATCGGAAATAGTATAACTTTGGTGTTTTTAGAGTTAGAGAGTTCAAATTTGACATGAGAGCTATTTTTGGCAAAATAATACGACATGCCAAATTTCATAAGGATCGGCCGACTATATCCTATAGCTGCCATATAACTCAACGATCGGAAATTACCCAACTTTCGTGTTTTTGAAGATAGAAAGCTGGAATTTAGTACAGACTCTATTTTTGGTTAGTTGATCCAACCTACCAAATTTCATTAGGATCGGCCGACTATATCCTATAGCTGCCATATAACTGAACGATCGGAAGTGACCCAACTTTTGTGTTTTTGAAGATAGAAAGCTGGAACTTGGTACAGATTATATTTTGATCCATCCTACCAAATTTCATAAGGATCGGCCAACTATATCCGATGTTTGCGATATATATCCGGTTTTAGCTGCAAGGGTATATAAACTTCGGCTCCGCCCGAAGTTAGCTTTCCTTTCTTGTTTTTTGTTAAAATCGTCACCATTTTTCTTTAATCAAAATTTTTAAAAATCGGACGGACTAGGCAACACAATGTACTAACGAAATTTTTGATTTCGGATGAACCGTTCTCGGGATATGATGTCCACAGCAAGACACCATCGAAAAAAGACGATCTTGGAATTCGGCTATAATATTTTTTTATTCAATATTTTTTTAGTAACGTCTGTAAAACATTTTTAATAAACATTTTCTATGGTGTCAAAAAAAAATTCGATAAAATTGCATTATTTTGCCCTGTACAACTGTATATAACCCCTTAATACCAACATAAGTAGATAGCAAGCAAAGGGCTTTATTGTCTTTTCATAATACATTGGTTATATTGATGCCATATGACGAACCGACATATTCATTCGATAAGCCTCTCGGCTGTTTCGTGATCGTAATGTCATTCGGAAGCTTGCAATTCGGAATGCGATTAACACGCAGTGTTCCTAGGCTATATATCCCTTTAGCACGCAGATAAACTATCAACGGTAAAGAAGTACAAAAGTTGTTAAATAAATAATGTAGGTTTCGAAACTTTCTACCGTTTTTGTCAGGCGTACAATAATGTTTGCCGAAGCTCCATGACCTGGATAAGCAGGCAAGATAACGTTGTCGCCTGCACCACTATAAATTTCAAACCGGTAGGCATAACCAAATGAGTCGCACAACACAAACAGCTAATATCCCACCTATGAGGCTTATTGGGAATATACTGCCGAAGGTGGTGCACATTAATTCATCGACACAGAGTCAAACCTCTGGTTAAGGTGATCTAAAAAATTACGCGTGCGATGCTGTGAATCGTATCTTGGCTCACCTTTCTGGATTCGCTTGCTCTTATCCCGAAGTGTTACCCAAGAGATCCTCGTCCGTTTCAACATCATTGGACAAATCCAGCAACTGTTCATGGGTCAAACCGTCTACGTATTCGACCTGCCATTTTTTCAATAAGACACCATTGAAACAGAAACAAACACAAAAATTGCACGCAGTTGTGAAATAAGCGGTGTTGGTAAAAGATCGCGTGGTGTCGCAACAGTGCATCAAGGCACTTATCACAATTTCACCGCTGCAACGAACTGTTTGTATAAAGTTGCATACATACAACTTGATTTGGATAATATAATATCTTACCTTCGAGAACAATAATTTTTATTCGGCTGTTTCGTTTTTTAGATACTACAAATTATATAATAAGTGCGTTGAGGCACTCTTGGGTATTAGAGGGTTGAGCAAAATTAAATTATTTCACAAAAAAAAATACATAATTTATGCCGAAAATTCGGGCTTTTGGACAACAGTGCACTGGGATATACCTTCAGTTTGAGAGTTATCCCAA